CCAGGGATGCTACCTATCCATGCATTCTTCACCAGCTAGCTAGCTAGTTTGAGTCAAAGGGCATGCATCTTCTGGCAATGCAACTGGGCATATCTTATTCCCTTCTCCATATATGCATCATGCATTAGAATAACATCTTGCCAAGATCATGTTCCTGCTCCCATATATACTGCCCCCACTTTGCGTAGCTTTACCAAGACTACAAATGTGCTTTAGGTGGGCTAGCCAGCTAACTAGCTTCTCCTCTTGAAACTTGAATAGTAGTAGTAACATGCATGCATATCCAAGTACCTTGTCCAGACCTGAAAGATCTCACTTGCATAGCACTTTTCTGTATATATATATATATATATATATATATATATATATATATATATATATATATATATATATATATATATATATATAGCCCTGTTTGGTTTCTACATGTGCTTCTAAAATTTCTATCATAGACACATGCATGCAGTATTAAATATAAACTAATTACTTAACTTGCGACTAATTTACGAGACAAATCTTTTAAGCCTAATTAGTCCATGATTTGACAACGTGGTACTACAGTAAACATGTCCTAATGACATATTAATTAGGCTTAAAAAAATCATCTCGCAAATTAGCTTCCATCTATGTAATTGGCTTTATAATTAATCTATATTTAATGATCTTTATTAATATCTAAACATCCGATGTGACATAAATTTTTGGAGCCACTAAAGAAACAAACAACCCCCATAATATAGTGGCTGACATCAACAACTGCGAGAAGCCATTCCGTTTCTTATTATATATCTTCTTGCTTCAGAGAACCTTGTAACTGTAGTATTCTACGTGCCGCCCAAATTGATATTGAAGGAACCTCTAGAGAGGTCGTTTAAGGAATTTGTACTAGGAATATTGTATTGTGGATATGTATATCATCATGAGCTTGCTAGAATAAGCTAGCTAGCTACACACGGGAATGTCAATCAGTTCTCGCTAGTTTAGCTAGAGACCGATGCTGGTTTCAGATAACTCTTGTGCTCACCAGCTGTTTTACTCCTGATAACACGAAACACACCAGCTGAAAAATCAGCATGTTGGATCGGAGACACCTTTTTAATTGACAAGTTTGGGTTGCTCTGCTTTGAATCTTTTGCAAGAAATGGCAATTTGAGTCAAGCAAGTTTCCTCTTGATCCTCCTACTTTCGGAATTCGAGAAATTGTAAACATTACTATTACCACCATTACAATAAACTTAACGGAGGCGGACGATTTTGGTTTTGGTCCAACTTAAGATACTTTGACTCTATAAGATTCTTATAATTTGGGATGGAGGGAGTATAATCCAAGCTAAGGGGGTGTTTGGATACCCCATCCTAAACCTGTCATATCATATGTTTGAACACTAATTAGAAGTATTAGACATAGACTAATTACAAAACTAATTATACAGATGGATGCTAATTTGTGAGATGAATCTATTAAGCCTAACTAGCCCATGATTTGAAAATATAGTGCTACAGTAAACGTGTGCTAATCAATGTTTTCCTAAACAGTAAATGGTCTTTACACGGTTGCCCTTCGTTTAGCGTTTAAGCTGTTTACACGGTGTTTAAACGAAGTTAAACGGTCTAAACGGTTTTATACTTTAAAAAAATTTATATAATTATATATGTGCATGTAAAAAATCAAGTATTCTAGCATTTATACATATTTATCCGAGTAAAAATCAATTATTTTGGTATGTACATATATTTATGCATGTGAAAAGAACCAAATATAGATATTTATGCGTGTAACATAACAAGTGTACACATTTATAAATATAATAATAAACTTAAGTATACAAATTTATCCATATAAAACTGAACTAGATTTATCTCGTATTCGCCTAAACAGCAGTTTAAACAGCTGTTTAGCGCATTTAATGTTGTTTATCTCTGTTCCGTTTAGACCGTTTTCCTCGTTTTTTTGACTGATTAAACGGTCAATCGTTTAATTTTCATTTACTCCCTAAATAAAACAGTTTACCACCATTTACCGTTTACTGACCGTTTAAAGATGCTAATAATAGATTAACTAGGTTTAATAAATTCGTATCACGAATTAGCCACGGCTTATGCAATTTGTTTTATAATTAACTTATGTTTAGTCTTCCTAACTGGCATCAAACGTCCGATGTGACCCAGACTAAACTTTAGTCCAGGGATCAAACACCCCTTAAGCATGTAATTACAAAACCTCACTGCATGTATGGTCCTATCGATAAGCACGTCTAATCATGGTAATTAAAAGGACCACTCACACATATATACCAGCTGCACATACACGTAAACATGGAAAAGGCCAGGCAGAGGGCATGGGCATGGGCATGTGTAGCGAATTAAGAAGGCGGAGAACAATGGCACGTACTTACGCTAACTCCACAAGCAACCTCGATCGGATCGGCTGTACGTGTACGTGTTTCTGGTACAACTGGCGCTTTAGCAGGGTCCCATGTAAGGCTGTGTTTATTTCATCAAATGAAATATTTTAATGTCACATCGGATGTTTTGGAGATGTCAGAAGGAGTTTTCGATTACTAATAAAAATAATAATAACATAGCTCATCTGAAACTGCGAGACCAATTTATTAAGCCTAATTAACCCATTATTAACACATGTTAGTTACTGTAGCACTTATGATAATCATGGATTAATTAGTCTTAAACATTCGTCTCGCGATTTCCAACCAAACTGTGCAATTAGTTTTTTTTGTCTATATTTAATACTCTATACATGTACCACAAGATTCGATGTGATAATTTAGGATAAAATTTTTTGAGAACTAAACCAGCCTAAATTAAAGGAGGAAACACCAGAACCAACAGGCCGACCACACTAAAGCATACAGCAAAAGGACAAAAATAAGCAGGGTCCCATGCATATTGGGTAGATCCAGAGGTCGATGTACCGGCACGAGCTATCCCTGCGGGCAGCCAAGTTTTTCTCCAGTTAACAGACACGATGTTGTCCGTTCGTACGTACTCGCTCGTAATTAATATTTGTTTTACTAATAACACGGTTTTCTTTCTTTTCTAAAATATTGTAGAAATGCAAATGCTTACAAACATGCACGCACACATCACTATCTAAAAAAACCACATATCCACCACCTCACCACAAACGCGACCAGCAAAACACGTCTGCTGTAGTACAACTACATACGCGTCTTCCTGACGCGCGTTTGTAGTAAGTCGCCGCGGAGTCACCGGTTCGGCGAGGTCAACACGTGTCTATAATAAGCGTTTACTGCAAACGTGTGTTGGTAAAACGTGTCTGAGCTAAATCTATAGACGCGTGCACATAAAACGCGTATGTATCTGCAACAGTTATTACAGATGCGTGTTGTGATTTCTGAGTCTCGGATAACATGATCAAACTCTATGGACACGCGTACGTGACACACGTTTGTAGTAAGATCTCTTATTGCAGACGCGTGTGTTGTTGCAGACGCGAACACACATCTCGAGTAATCCTACTTGTAGCACACGTGTCCTGCTCTATACGCGTCTGTACATTGTGGCAGACGTTTGTTCCATACGCGCGTTTATAGTATTTAGCCTGCGTACTTAGCAGTTGGCACGTGTTAACGGGCAGAGGGACGTACTTGGCGCGTACGGAACACAGCGGGCAGTGGCTCTTGTGCGGCTTTGAGGAGCGCGGGCGGAGTTGGCGGGCGGCGGCCAAAGTTGCGCAGCATGACCATAGGTGGGCGGCGGAAGGATGGGCGCGCGGCAGCTGGTGGGGCGCGATGCCGTGGTGGGTGGTAGGCCGAAGGGGCTCGCTGCTGCAGCGGGCGGTGGTGGGCGGCCTTAGGGCCGCTCCGTGTAGACGGCTAGGCGTACGTGAGCAAGTCTTAAACTTGAGCCGCCGGCGCTCCTCTCTTTCCCTCTTCTCTATCGGAGCACCGTCGCGCCACTCGACGGTGAAATTCGTCGCCGTTGTTCCATCTTCTCCTAATTTCCCGCGCTCCCAGCTCCGCCTAGTTCTTGCGGTCCTCCTCAAACCGTTGTAGCCACCTCTCGCCGCCGCAATTGCCTTCAGCGTCGGTTGCTGCCGTGGTCGTGCCACCATGGTTGTGATGGGCAGCTCGCCGTGGCCAACTCGTTCCAGCACACCACTAGTGATCCCATTTATTATTTTAGCTCTACTGTAACTCCATGATGCCCGTCGGCTTCATTCTTTTACCTCTACCGCGTAGGTCGCGGCAAAACGACAACCTCGCCACCAGTTCGTGCCGCCGCATGCGCTATCACCGCCAGCCATCTAGCTCTGCCTCGTCCCTGGTTCAACCAAGCAGCACATCGACATCACAGTGAGCTGTTGATAACGCTTGAGCCCTTAGACTAACCTATACCGTGCTGTATCTGTCGGAGCACCGCCACGCCACCGTTCTTTGTCTGCCGCACCGCCATGGCTGTGGTCGAGCTCGAGTCTGACTCTAACTCGTTCCTCTCTATAGTGTACTTGATCAGGTGTGCTCCGACCTAGCTTTGCCATCTTGAGCTGCAGGGGATCACCGGCATGCTCAGCTCTCCTCCCTGGTCCTCCTTGCTCTCGTCTTTGGCCTCCTGTTCTCTGGCGTGTACTTCTCTATGAACAGTGGTAAGCTCGTGTGAAACTATGATGAAGTTGCTTGTGTGAAACTTGCAATGTGAACTAAGTCTACTGAAAAAATATGATTTTATTATTAAAGCATTGATGAATTTGCTTAGATTCTTCCATTTTAACTCCAGCCATTGACAAACCAGCAACAATATATATGTAATAATATATAGATAGATGCATTTCCAGCCAAAGTATGTGACAAAGTTTGCATCACAGAGTTTTACTACTTCATCACAGTAATTACATCATCACCAAAAGTACGTCATCACAAAGTTTACATTCACATAGTTTTATCAGCAAAAGTTAACACAACATCACATCATCATTAGTTGTTCACCGACGACAGAGGCATGGCGCTCTGCAACTTGCTCTAGAGGTCATGCACATTCTGAACCACGGACGCTAGGTGGTCACCAAGGTCATCCAGGTTCTTCTTGAGACACTTCTCCTTCTCTTCTTTCTCAGCCTTCTCTTTCTTGAGTACGTCAACACTTCGCTGAAGACCGCCTATACTCTTCATGATGGGTTTCAGAACCACTACCTACAAGGCCTCGTGCATGGTACTTAGAGGGAGCTGATAAGATCGAACCTATATACACATAAACAGTTATAGGAACATATATGAAAATTCAGCATAAATCTAGATACTGTGAGAAAAAACATGCATATAAGTTTCATTTGCATTCATATAAGTTTCATTATCCAGCATACAAATCAAAATCATATAAGTTTCATATAATCAATTATAGGCTACAAAGTCCATGACCATGTGAACACCAGAATCATAGCAAATTAGAAAAATAAAACATCTAGCTACTGCTAACAATGCACATAAAGACTTAGAGCTGCCCCAAAGAGATGAAACCCAATCTACTCAAATCACAATGCTGAAATATTGAAGTGGCACCATCAAAATTATTCACAAGATTAAAATCATTGATCTATGATAAACATCTAGATAAAACAATATACTCAAATCACAAGGCTGCTGTAAAATACAATATATGACAGTTTACATTGCTTGTATAAAAACTTAAGTTGCATCTGCATTTATTCTACACTAAGTTGTTTTCTCTGCTCCACCTGGGTCCAGGATGAAAGAATGGCATGAGCCAAATTATTTTAGTAACAAACGCATCCAATCCAGAGGCTACCAAAATAATTGTCATAAAATTAAGAAAGAAAACCTATATATAAGCAGTTGTAATCTAAAGAGTGTGCATTACCTGGCCATGGGTGGAGCTTGAACCGCCGACTTCATCGCAGTTGACGCTGTCGCGGAGCCATAAACGGCACGTCCTGGCTCCTCCCTCAAAGCAGTGGACGTACATCTTGGTGGCCGCTGCCCTTGGCGCCGCGACCGAGGAAGAAGGTGTTGTCACCATCGTCGCCGGCATGGCCTTCCTCTCCTTCCTCCTCGCCTCAATGGGTTGTCCTTCCTTCTCTCTATCCAAGTCCACCACGAGCACCACCACTAGCTTCTTGACCACTGCCCTTGACCACCAGGATAAAAATTTTTGAGAACTAAACCAGCCTAAATTAAAGGAGGAAACACCAGAACCAACAGGCCGACCACACTAAAGCATACAGCAAAAGGACAAAAATAAGCAGGGTCCCATGCATATTGGGTAGATCCAGAGGTCGATGTACCGGCACGAGCTATCCCTGCGGGCAGCCAAGTTTTTCTCCAGTTAACAGACACGATGTTGTCCGTTCGTACGTACTCGCTCGTAATTAATATTTGTTTTACTAATAACACGGTTTTCTTTCTTTTCTAAAATATTGTAGAAATGCAAATGCTTACAAACATGCACGCACACATCACTATCTAAAAAAACCACATATCCACCACCTCACCACAAACGCGACCAGCAAAACGTGTCTGCTGTAGTACAACTACATACTGGCGTCTTCCGACGCTGCGTTTGTAGTAAGTCGCCAGCGGAGTCACCGGTTCGGGCGAGGTCAACACGTGTCTATAATAAGCGCTACTGCAAACGTGTGTTGGTAAAAGCGTGTCGAGCTAAATCTATAGACGCGCGTGCACATAAAAGCGCGTATGTATCTGCAACAGTTATTACAGATGCGTGTTGTGATTTCTGAGTCTCGGATAACATGATCAAACTCTATGGACACGCAGCGACGTGACACACGTTTGTAGTAAGATCTCTTATTGCGACGCGTGTGTTGTTGCGACGCGAACACACATCTCGAGTAATCCTACTTGTAGCACACGTGTCCTGCTCTATACGTGTCTGTACATTGTGGCAGACGTTTGTTCCATACGCGCGTTTATAGTATTTAGCCTGCGTACTTAGCAGTTGGCACGTGTTAACGGGCAGAGGGACGTACTTGGCGCGTACGGAACACAGCGGGCAGTGGCTCTTGTGCGGCTTTGAGGAGCGCGGGCGGAGTTGGCGGGCGGCGGCCAAAGTTGCGCAGCATGACCATAGGTGGGCGGCGGAAGGATGGGCGCGCGGCAGCTGGTGGGGCGCGATGCCGTGGTGGGTGGTAGGCCGAAGGGGCTCGCTGCTGCAGCGGGCGGTGGTGGGCGGCCTTAGGGCCGCTCCGTGTAGATGGCTAGGCGTACGTGAGCAAGTCTTAAACTTGAGCCGCCGGCGCTCCTCTCTTTCCCTCTTCTCTATCGGAGCACCGTCGCGCCACTCGACGGTGAAATTCGTCGCCGTTGTTTCATCTTCTCCTAATTTCCCGCGCTCCCAGCTCCGCCTAGTTCTTGCGGTCCTCCTCAAACCGTTGTAGCCACCTGTCGCCGCCGCAATTGCCTTCAGCGTCGGTTGCTGCCGTGGTCGTGCCACCATGGTTGTGATGGGCAGCTCGCCGTGGCCAACTCGTTCCAGCACACCACTAGTGATCCCATTTATTATTTTAGCTCTACTGTAACTCCATGATGCCCGTCGGCTTCATTCTTTTACCTCTACCGCGTAGGTCGCGGCAAAACGACAACCTCGCCACCAGTTCGTGCCGCCGCATGCGCTATCACCGCCAGCCATCTAGCTCCGCCTCGTCCCTGGTTCAACCAAGCAGCGCATCGACATCACAGTGAGCTGTTGATAACGCTTGAGCCCTTAGACTAACCTATACCGTGCTGTATCTGTCGGAGCACCGCCACGCCACCGTTCTTTGTCTGCCGCACCGCCATGGCTGTGGTCGAGCTCGAGTCTGACTCTAACTCGTTCCTCTCTATAGTGTACTTGATCAGGTGTGCTCCGACCTAGCTTTGCCATCTTGAGCTGCAGGGGATCACCGGCATGCTCAGCTCTCCTCCCTGGTCCTCCTTGCTCTCGTCTTTGGCCTCCTGTTCTCTGGCGTGTACTTCTCTATGAACAGTGGTAAGCTCGTGTGAAACTATGATGAAGTTGCTTGTGTGAAACTTGCAATGTGAACTAAGTCTACTGAAAAAATATGATTTTATTATTAAAGCATTGATGAATTTGCTTAGATTCTTCCATTTTAACTCCAGCCATTGACAAACCAGCAACAATATATATGTAATAATATATAGATAGATGCATTTCCAGCCAAAGTATGTGACAAAGTTTGCATCACAGAGTTTTACTACTTCATCACAGTAATTACATCATCACCAAAAGTACGTCATCACAAAGTTTACATTCACATAGTTTCATCAGCAAAAGTTAACACAGCATCACATCATCATTAGTTGTTCACCGACGGCAGAGGCATGGCGCTCTGCAACTTGCTCTGGAGGTCATGCACATTCTGAACCACGGACGCTAGGTGGTCACCAAGGTCATCCAGGTTCTTCTTGAGACACTTCTCCTTCTCTTCTTTCTCAGCCTTCTCTTTCTTGAGTTCGTCAACACTTCGCTGAAGACCGCCTATACTCTTCATGATGGGTTTCAGAACCACTACCTACAAGGCCTCGTGCATGGTACTTAGAGGGAGCTGATAAGATCGAACCTATATACACATAAACAGTTATAGGAACATATATGAAAATTCAGCATAAATCTAGATACTGTGAGAAAAAACATGCATATAAGTTTCATTTGCATTCATATAAGTTTCATTATCCAGCATACAAATCAAAATCATATAAGTTTCATATAATCAATTATAGGCTACAAAGTCCATGACCATGTGAACACCAGAATCATAGCAAATTAGAAAAATAAAACATCTAGCTACTGCTAACAATGCACATAAAGACTTAGAGCTGCCCCAAAGAGATGAAACCCAATCTACTCAAATCACAATGCTGAAATATTGAAGTGGCACCATCAAAATTATTCACAAGATTAAAATCATTGATCTATGATAAACATCTAGATAAAACAATATACTCAAATCACAAGGCTGCTGTAAAATACAATATATGACAGTTTACATTGCTTGTATAAAAACTTAAGTTGCATCTGCATTTATTCTACACTAAGTTGTTTTCTCTGCTCCACCTGGGTCCAGGATGAAAGAATGGCATGAGCCAAATTATTTTAGTAACAAACGCATCCAATCCAGAGGCTACCAAAATAATTGTCATAAAATTAAGAAAGAAAACCTATATATAAGCAGTTGTAATCTAAAGAGTGTGCATTACCTGGCCATGGGTGGAGCTTGAACCGCCGACTTCATCGCAGTTGACGCTGTCGCGGAGCCATAAACGGCACGTCCTGGCTCCTCCCTCAAAGCAGTGGACGTACATCTTGGTGGCCGCTGCCCTTGGCGCCGCGACCGAGGAAGAAGGTGTTGTCGCCGTCGTCGCCTGCATGGCCTTCCTCTCCTTCCTCCTCGCCTCAATGGGTTGTCCTTCCTTCTCTCTATCCAAGTCCACCACGAGCACCACCACTAGCTTCTTGACCACTGCCCTCGATGCCACCATCGAGGACAAGGGCACCGCGGCTGAGGAAGAGGGCATGTCATGCCTGGCCTTCTTCTTCACAGGAGAGGATGAGGCAGGCAAGGCCTTCTTCTCCTTCCTAATGATGACGGTGGCCTTCTTCTTCAACCCTGGTGGGGCAGCTGGGATGGCCTTCTTCTTGAAGGCCAGCGTCTACTCAAACCCCGGCGAGGGGCTCACCTCGTCCTTCACCGCTGCCGAGGACGAGGAACGGCGGGCGAACCTCCCCATCTTCTCGTCCCTCAGGTTGTGTCACCTCTCTGGCCTTGTCATCTTCGACAGCGGCGGCGGCGGGTACGGCTACGGCGGTGGGCCCGGGAGGTGAGAAGAGCGGAGGCGGCTGCGCGCGCAGCGAGGAAGGCGAGAGAGGAGTGGAGAGACAAGAGGCTAGAGTGAATGTGAGTGAAGGAGTGGCAGTTCCAATGCTTTGAACTGCCACTCCTCTCTCTATTGGAGTGGTGAATGGACGCCCTTTGGATGTGGACGGCTGCGGTCGGTACCTCAGTTGGCTTACTACAGACGATTGTTAATAACACGGGTCTAAAGTAGGACCCTGACAGGACGGTGCCACCGCCACCCTATTTTAATGTATTGGAAACCTTTTAAAAAATAAACATTGCCCCCCGTTTGAACTTACGAACGTAGCATAATGGTTAACTCACGGGGTTGTGGGCCTGTAGGTCTCGGTATCGATCCCCGCAGGGGTACAAATTTTTTGCCTTTTATTTTACTACTATAGATGCATTTTTACAGCACGCGTTTGTAACAGAAAATCTTTTGTGGATGAATGCTTAGTTTGGTTGACAAGATAATTTTAAATCAAAAAGTTGTCAACTACAAAGTTTCAAAACTTTTCGATATCTATAAGTTTTATTCTTGTAGTTTCTCAATCCGAGGTCATTTAAAAAATTCAAATTTTAAATTTTAATTTTTTGGAAATTTAAACTTAGTTTTCCATGAAAAGATGATTTCAATGAAAATGTTGTCAACTACAAAGTTTCATGGCTTTTTGAGATCTACAAGTTTTATTTTGGTTCTTTCTCCATCCGAGGTCATTTGAAAAACTCAAATTTTAATAGTTAATTTTTAAAATTCGATGTCTATTTGTAGAGACGTCTCAATAGAGTAGTGTGGAACATCACAAAAACTATCACAAATAGGAATATAACATGAATTACAACTAAAACATCTTAGTTTTCATCACTGCTACTCAGGATCGAACATCAACCATCACCAAAAGCAAAAGTTTCGATCATGTCATCCAGATATATATACATATCAACACTCATGGCCACTGGCAATCATGGAAGAACCTACGACACTCATTGCAGATCCAACACTCCTCGCTGTAGAACAGGGTCCACTGCTCCAATGCTACCCATCCGGCACTGCCTCAGCACTGATGCCCGTCCTAGTGAGGCACCGGATGGGCCAGAGGAGGCAGATCAGGCCTTGCTGCACGACGTGGCACCACTAAGTCGTCCTGCATCACCACCCTTTCTTGTTGGCGGTGCCATG